GGGGCTCAGAGATGAGGCCTCGTCCGCCGACCGGGGGAAAGACTTCGTCGACGCACCCGCAACTTCAAATCCGTCTGTCGTCAAGGATGAGTGAGTAAGATGACCGTTCAGCTCAAACGCAGGCAAAACCAATTTGGCTGCTTATCTGCATTTGTGTCGGGCTGCCAATGGAATTTGGGGCCCTTACCCACCAATCAATCAGCATTTCTACTGCCGCAATTTGATTCGATGTTTTTCTTTCTCATGCTGCATGCAGCATTGACACGGCACCGATTTCTTTCAGCGGCATTTCCGTCGTACGGCTTTTCCGGGACGCAATTCTGTGCGCACGCGTTTTGTCCATGGGAGCGCTAAGTGGAGAACAGCAAGTCATTTATCGCACGCAGGCAACATGTTTTTGTTTTCTCCGGGAAGAACTGAGACGGCTCAACAACGGATCCGCTTTCTAATCCACGGTGGCCATTGGCACCGTGTCGTTTTCAGTCAGGTCTCAATAAATAGCCGGTACTGTCTGTGGTGCTGAAGTGAGAAATCCAGACAACTGTCCGGGTCATCTTGGCTTTTAATAGCCTCCCCTTTTAATCAGACGATTAAAAAAAAAAAAAAAAAAAAACCACCAACAACTGGCGCCATCAGATCACGACCCTTTGACACAGAGCTGAAATGAGCGGCGGCCGTCGAAAGGCCGCCCTTTTTTGAAACAACGGCCGCGGCGCTATCGAGTCGGAAGCCGCGGAATGCAAGGAGGCCGGACCATCAATCGGGTCTTTGCACTTACCAATCGACGCTAAGAGAGCGTCTCCTGTAGGAATGCGCTCCTTCCGACGCCGTCTTCTCGGCCTTGGCTGGACGTTCTTTGAGGGAGAGACGATGGGTGAACTTGGAGATTCCGGACTCGGACCTTGCCAAAGAAGGGGGGAGAGAGCAACGTCAGAGAAAGATTTTTTCAGTCGAGCAGAAATGAAGAACGAGAATTCTCAAAGAGCTTTTGAAACATTCCCCCCCGTCACATTTTCAAATCGGGGCCATTTGTGCGTCTGTGTGCGCGTTTCTTCTCAATGTTTGGCTTGGGATGCTTGAGATGTAGCGCGCACCGCGAGCTCTGCGGCTCTTTCAAATACATTTGAGAGATGTCAAGGTCACCACCGATCTGACGAAGGGGCGGCGGAACATACGAGCGGCGCGGACAAATAGCTGGCCCGGTTACAACGGCCGCGGCTCCAAAAGGACGAGTGCGGGCGGCGAGGGGGGGAAAGGAAGCTTTGCTGCCAATCTGACTGCAAAACGCCGCAAAGGACGCAGGCGCCCATCTGTGCGAGGCCAACGAGCACGCACGCAGGCTTGCGCAAAGTTGGATTGGGGAACAGAAGGCTCAATATGTTTCATTAGGCCAACAAAAAGCCTTTCAGTGGTCCAATCATAAAAGGCAGCGGCCAGGCTATGCGCATTGCTAATTAACAGGGCTCAAAGAAAGCCTTGTTTTCCTACATGCCATACGCTCGGCAGCTAAATGCCCCCCACCCCACCCCACCCCCCGCCGCCACGGACTGAATTCTCACCAGGAGAGCAAAGCGTGAGGAGGGTGACGCACGTCTGGCTCGCGTGGCCTTTGGTCGAGGTTCTTCTGCGTCATGAGACGGGGGCAAGGACACGCGGCGGCCGCCGAGGACCGGTCGCCGTGTTTTGTCTTGAGCGGGAGGCCGATGCGCGCGGCGAAAGAAACCGGTCCGTCGCCTCCATCGATTTCAATGTCGCGTGTCTTCCCATTCGGAAGGTACGCAGCTTGCGACCAACGTCGGTCGGAGCCATTTCAAAACGTGCAACTTGCGAATGGCAATCGCACGTCGGCCGCGAGCCGGTGCGAGAAGCGCTCGGTGGAACGTAAATTAGGATTAAAGTCATGGCCAGTTTTGGCCTTGTCGAAACCATCATCTTAACAGCCGTCCATCCATCGTCAAGGGAAAGAATGCGAATAACATACTTTGAAAAATGGAAAACGCTTTCGGGGCTCAAGGAAAACGGAGCGGAACGGAACAGAAAAAGTGACCGAGGCGATGGTAATTGCACCCCCACACCCACACCCACCCGGCCACGCATATGAGGGTGGATGTTGACGGTGTGATTTCATTTGTCATCAGGACTGTCCGTTCGCTCAAAGGCGAAAAGAGTCGTCGAAGCAAACGGACGGTACTCACTTCTTGTGCGCATTCTCCTTGCGATCGACCGAGCCCAGGCTCTGTAAACGAGAGACAAAATCAACATGAGAAGCGGGAACTTGGATGTCGTGTTTCTCAAGCGTCATCGAAGCATTTGACCGCGCATCATACAAAAGGCCGTTGGAAGCTCGGGCCAACGCTCGTCTTTGTACGGCGCCGCGTTGCCGAACGGCCAACCGACCGACGAAGAGAGCCGCGAACATTCAGGACGTTTCCTCAACGCTTCGACGGCCCAACGGAAACGACTCAAAGCCTCGGCAGCAGTATTTCGGCAGCGTACGGTGGCCTACTTTGGACTCGAGTTTCATTTTGCAGGCGGCCGCTGCAGCGGCGCAATTCGCGGTCGCTTGGATTGTGACGTCGGCATTGAAAATCCTCTGAAAAGAGCAAGAACAGAACGATACATTTGACGACTTTGCATGTCGAGATCCCCACCCTCTCCCGCCGGCGGCATCGGGTTTCAGGCTCAAGACATTTCAACGGCACGATGGGTAAGGCGGGCCACTGGACCTCAGCGCCTATGGAGGAGAGGCAAAGAACCACCGCCGACCTTCACGCGGCATCGCGATTCGGCGTAAGCGCAAGGAGGGATGACACGACGGTCAATGAAGCGCTCCCGCAAAGCCGACGTGGCGTTTGCGCCACGTGATGAGGAGCCGCCGCTTTGGTGACGCGAGCGGGTCGCCGAGACGAGCGGCATCCCCCGCCGACTGCGATCGGTGTGACGGCATGCCGCGTCCCCGCCGATAAAGGCGTCCAAAGTAGGAAGCGCCGATGCGCCGAATCAACGCCGAAGCGGTCGGCGGCAACCCGCTGACTCAATCCCTTCACTTTGCCTCCCTTCATTGACGTGTGCGTACGTACCTGTCGAGTGCACCTCTCCACGCCTCGGAGCCCCCAAAGCGCTCCCCAGGCCGGCGGGTGCGGCGGAGGCTCAAATTGCCGTTCGCACCGGCTCGATTTCAACCCGAGCCGCCCGCTCGCGTTTTCTTGCTCGCTTGCGCTCACGCGGAGCTTTTGTAAAGCTTGCCTCGATGGCGGCTGCGACCGCCGCCGACTTGTTGTACTTTAATTGCGGTTGCTAGGCGATAAGCTTCGACCAATTCCGCACACAGCGAAAGCGGGGGGGAGCGCATGAGCGAGAGGAGGGGCGGGGGCAGCGGAGTGACAGAATAGGGAAGGAGGCTTGGAGGACACGCTCGTTATAGACACAATAGCCGGAGGAAAATGACGGAGGTGGCTCGGTGCCTCGCGCAGGAGGAGCGAAGGGTTGAGGATGCGCAGGCGCTGGCTGCGCGCTCTTACTTTTCCACCCGCTTCTGCAATCTGCAGCACAGAAGCCCGAAAGCGAGATCAACATTTCCTTCCGCTTCGATTACAATCCATACGAGGATGTGGACACTTCACGTCATCAATAAACACGCAAAAGGAGAAATCGAAGAACGGAGATAAATCTTCAGTCGGTTTCAAAATAAGTGGAATAAAAACTCAACTAAACTAAACGATCCTGCCCTCATCAAAACTGAACGAAGAGTCGCGATTTCAAGTGATGTTGCAAACATACTCGAGCTTAGGGTTGGGAAAACTTATTGGCTCGGGGGCCACATTGGCTTTTGAAATTTGACATGGGCCGGCTCAGCATAAGATGTGGGGACGATTTAAAAAAAAAAAAAAAAAAACTGCATTTGTTGACAGTCCATATCAAACATCAACAGAACAAAAGTATGAACGTACTAGAAAGTATCCCTCCAAATGTTGCTGCTGTAAATTGCGAATTTCTCCATCGTGAGACAAATGCAGGTTTTCTTATCTTAACATACGTTTTGTTTGTTTTTTTTAATGAGAACTGTGTTGTTGATGACCCATTTTAGCCAGTGCATTGCTGCAGATGGGTTGTGATCTGAACAGTACAAGTAGAGTGACAGCGTAATTTCGAGTTCAGGAATCATATTTGCGGTGTCCAATCTTTCCTTACAACCGAATTTCCTTTTGTGGAAAACAACGTCATCGTTCCATGCATGTCCCGTATGAACGCCCAATTCTGTTCAAACATACACGTGTGACAACACGAGCAACAAAGCGCAGCAATGTATTGCCCCAACACAAAAACTGCAGTATACAGTCGAGGTATATGAACAAAAAATACGGCGATTTGCTCCAAAATGAGACTAGTAACAGACCTTGGTAGCTTTTCTTTCCACTCACTCGCTCGCTGACTGTCTCGAAGTCGACCAGCCCTCGATCGCCACCCAAGACGGCGTGGCTCAGCTGATGCCGCGCAACCAATTTCGGAAGCCAACCAGGGCCACGGAACGCTTCCAAGTCCCCCGTGCCCATCGTTAGCGCTCTGGAGCTCGCCTTCTCTCTTCTCAGCGGTCCAACTTTTCGGAAGTTTTTTTTTTTTTTACCGCGGTAACAGTCAAACCATTCTCGGAAACGTTCATTGACTCGACTGTCGGTCGAGCCGCAAGCAATTCGCTCTGAGCAGGGAAACTGCCAGAATCGGACCGAGAAAAAAATGGCTTCCTTGTTTTTCAAAGTCTCTAGATTCGAGTCTTTCCGACTGTTTCGTCCTTTGGAACCCGCTTCACTTCATCGGATGCATTTCACTTTCTCTTCCGCGGTCATTACCGCGCCTCTTCGTTTGGACGCCACGATCTCCAGGACGGAAATATAAACGTAAATGAAGGAATTCCAGTAAAACTCACTACAATTAGAGTCACTAACATGTCGCCGTTTTGGGTCCAATGTTAGCGAATAGCGGCGCGGACGCAATCATTCTGTCGTATCGAGCGGGAGTTGCTTGAGTTAGCGCTACTGCGGGCTTCCGTATGGCTTCCGCGTTCCGGAACTTCAAATTGTTAGGAATCGATGGTTCATGTAATGTAGTCGTAGACAGTTTAATCCATACGTTTTAGTTTATTCTTATTATTATTATTATTATTAGTTTTATCCCCCGCCCATGCTCTGCAACTTCAAGTCAATGCGCCACCTGGCGTTGAAATGCCTGTCATTACGAGTCCAAATGAAATGAATGCAATCATTCACATCGAACCTTAATTGTGTACCGACATTCGGCGGGCGCGATTAAAAAGACCAGCGGGCCCATCTTTGGTCTAGTTTGAGACCTGTTTTCTGCTTGCAAAAAAAAAAAAAAAAAACAAAAAACTTTCAAGCTGAATGTGCAACTCCAATATCCTGCATTTTGTGTCCAATTCAGTGCAAGAATGGATTTGTGGGGAAATGGCTTCTGTGGAATTGAATCTTCAACGGCAGCCTTATTCTGCCCACGCTTTAAAAAGTGGATCGAAGCGAAGCTTCAGGTCACACAAAGAGGGTTCACCGTGAACTCAGTCAGGGTGTCCGAAAAGTAGGCGTCTCCTTTCAGGATTGACTCGGGCAAACGTGAGGTCACGCACATTCACCTGGAGCCCCCCCGCCAATCGCCACCAAACGAGATTTCGGCCTGGCGTCACTCGCTAAGCCACACCCCTGAAAGGCACACGCAGACACACGTCGATCGACTATTTTCAGGTCAAACGTCGGCGCCCGAAAATGCGTTTCACACAAAGCGATTGATTCGGCAAGACGGCGGCTCATGGCGAGCAGGTGCCCCGCCGCCTCATTTGGTGACGCGGCGCGCACCTTCATTCCCCAAATAAAAGATCATCGGCAGCATTGCAGCCACGCTGACTCATATGTTCTGCTGCAACTTTGAGGTTTTGGTGAGCCGCCGTGACAATCCACCAGCAGACTTGGCGAGGGCAGACAACAAGTACTTGTGTGGCCCTTCCACGGGTTTAGGTAAGTAGGGGGGAAAAAAAAGCCACGAGGCATGCTCTCGCTCAGACACACGCTAAACAAAACAAACATCATCAAAAAGGTCAAGTTTGCTTCGCCCCCCATGCCCCCCCCCCCACTCATTTGCGTAGGCTTCCACAAAATAAATAGCCGTCTATACAATGTCCTCCTGGGTATAGAAAAGTAAACACGTGCGTCTAAGTGTGACCTACGTGATACACTGGCTTCACAGTGACTCCGACGACTAATGAGAAATGCGAGGAGAGGGGGAGGAAGACAAATCACATCGCAATGCAAATGACATCACGGCGGCCGCACGCAGTCACGACGGGCACCGGGCCGTCCGTCATCGAGGCAAACCAAGCGCTCCCTCCTTCGACCGCAGCCGTCGCCGAATCGAAACGCGCGACCGTGAATTTGGCCTCCCGTCATCGCCGGGGAAAATCTTGTCTCCGAAAGCACCTCGGAACGATGCTGCGGCTCGAGAGCGGGAGTGCGGCAAGGTCACGCTCAAGCTTGCCCGGACGCGCGTTCTCTCCCGATCCGCCGCGTTTGCTTTGGAGCGCGACATGTATGCGGTCATGAGACATTAATAGAGTCAAAGACATGTTGAAAAATGAGCTTGAAAATGTGCGCGCGCGTGCTCACTGTGAGCGTCTTGAGGCTGTCACTCAGCCCAGCTCGCAGGGTGGTCCAAACACTGAGCCCTCTTTACTCGCTCACGCACACACATTCATACCTCCATAGGACACACACGCGCGCACGCACACGCACACACACGCGCACGCACACAAACAAACAAACACTCAGTAGTGTCCATGTCATGGACATAAGAAAGTCGACATAAATATCTGAGCATACGGCTGGATATATGCGAGCGTAATGAAGCCATCCAATAACCTCGGCGCTTGCCCCTCTTCCTGCATCAAACCAGACAGCTAAATATACCGCCGCAGGCTCCTTCGCGCGGCGGCGGCGGCGCTACACAGCGAGCCTTTCACGCTCAGCCCCCGTAGGCGAGTGCCCGTGAGCGGCGCGTCAATGAACAATTTTCTCCAGGGCGCTAAGCGGCATTAGCGTGGCGGCAATTGGAAGCGGCCGGCCCGGCCGCTCGACCATGAAGCGGGATGGCTCCTTGGCACTTTCAATGGGATGGCTGACGATCGGCATGGTTTTTTTTGCCGTTCGGCACTCGCGCCCCGAGTCGGCGCGGGCGGAC